TGAGATACGGGTCCGGAATGGTGAAAATGTGCGATTTCAATGCATTTTCGGCCTTAAAATGGCCATCATTCCACTATTGTTAAGCAGATCATGAAACAAATGCACATACATATTTGTGACATGATGTACCTTGTGTGTGTGAAGTTTGAACTTGATCAATCCAAGCATGTCTCAGATACGGATCGAGAACTAAATTCTTTAAAACAAAATGGCCGCCGGTCGGCCATTTCGAACCCGATCAACAACAAAAAAATGACGTGCATCAAGGTCCTATTATGTTTAATGTATGTACCAAATTTGAACAAAATCCGTCCATGCATAACTGAGATCCGGGTCCGGAATGGTGAAAATGTGCGATTTTGATGCATTTTCGGCCTTAAAATGGCCGCTATTCGGCTATCGTTAATCAGATCATGAAAAATATGCATGTGCATATGTCCCATATAATGTGTGATGTATGAGTGAAGTTTGAACTTAATCAGTCCATGCATGTTCGAGATACAGGTGATCACAGACGCACGGACGGACGGACGGACGGACGGACGCATGGACGCACACAGGGCAAAACATAAGTCCCCGTTTTCGGACTGCGTCCGAACGGGGACTAATAAACTAATTCAATGCCAGTAAATTAAAAAGCAACCTTTCTGCCTCGTGGTGATGAATCGGGGCATTGTCCACAACAACTGTATCACCTGGTGTTAACACTGGTTTGCCGTCAATAGTGAATGTTTCCGTTGCTTCAGTGAAAAAAATAACAAATTGGTTTGCATTTGATGGACCCTGAATTACGGATGCAAACATAGAGGCATTCAGACCAACTATAAAATTGAGAGTGTGATTCAGTCCCGCAATATAACAACCGATTTCAGCGCACCAGACTCCTCTCTGTGAATGTCCATAAGCAGACTGTCCTGTGTTAATTTTCACTCCACACTCATCCATGAACTTCAATGTAGCAGGATTTTTCGTATGCAAATAATCTATGTATTCCATATTTTCATCATTAAATCTTGCTGCATGAGGAATTGTCATCTTTTTGTTTGTCCACGGCCCTCCGCCAAGTTTATCACGAACGGCACGTCCGATGCTACTGACATGAATGTCATCTATTTGGGAATACTGTAATAACCTATCTCTGATTTCTTGATACGTCATCGATGGACGTTCTTGTTTCAGTGTCTTTATGAAATCTATGTCTTGGTCAGATAATTTCCCTCTTCGGTCACCACCTTTTGGCATAGTTTCAATGTCTCAAGTTTCCCAATGTGTTTTCCAGATTCGACGAACAGTAGATTTGTCAACCCTGAGCTTGTCATCTATTTTTTTCACCATGCCTACCGGGTAATTTCCAGAATGCTCCCGAAAACACCATTTCCGTCACAATTAAACCACGGAGATCTTTGCTCAAAGCCTTGCCTCGACTGAAACTACGACCCTTTGCATTAGTTTCCATTTTGCAGATACAAATGGAATCTATATCGTGGCATTTTATTCCTGCCATATAAGCTGAAACATTGTTCCATTTGCATTTACCACTACGACATTGTCCTACGCTCACACATATAGTGCCATGCCCAGCTGATTTCAAAACTATGAATCCTAGAGTGTGAAACGCATTCGTGCATTTTTATTTTTGTCTTTTCCGAGAAATGTCATTGTTCAGAACGAGTATAATGTATTGCAGCAGAATATTTTTTTCTATTGCAGACTGCTCAGACCTACATGTACCCCATATAAGATCGGTCTCCATGGTGCGTTATTATTTGAACGTCCCCAACCCTTGACGTCACGCACAAGTTTGCAGATCTCTCGGCGTTTCCCCGCAGGTTTCCCAGTTCAATCAAAATGGATGTTACTGGGACACCTCAACGAAAGTCGCTGGAATGTTTTTTGAGATCGATAGATCTATCTCTTATGAAATATTATGCGGACTTTGAAAGGCTTGATTTTACATCAGAGATGTCACTAAAATTCTTCAAACCACGCGATTTCGACAAATTTGAAACCAGAAAAAGCTCAGTACACAGACGCATGGTTATCAACGCAGCCACCAAATTACAAACACCACAGTCAAAACTTGGACTGCAAAACTTAGATTCTGATGACAGTCCATCCGCTAGTGATGATCATAGTGCCATCAATCAACGAAATGGTAGCATCGCGAAAAGACTTTTTTGTTCCCAACAACCACCTTGTGACCATGGCGAAAGATACACAAGAAACGCTGCACTAGAAACAGAGATGACCTTACATGCGAGCATGAGAAAGACATCGAATGGGGTCAGTATCATTTCCAGTCGCCATTCGAATTATCGATTGAAGGTTTAGAAAACGAAATCGACATTTTGGAGAAGGAACTAACTGTTGCCAAACAAAAGCACGGTGATCTCCTGGAGTATTATTGCAACGAACCTAGGAGAGAGGTTGGTGAGAAAAAATGCACACGAAGTCATGACAAGCGCAACTGTCCATTTCCAGCGTGCGTTACGGCAGAACAGTGCGGTCTAGTTTCTGAACATGCCGAGCAACGAAAAGAAGTTCAATTGGCTAGTGAATTAGTCGGTAAACTTACTATTGAATTAAAAAAGAATATCAGTTTGGATGTGAAAAAACTGCTTATGAAACCACTAGTACATCATTCTACTCATGGATATACACACCGCTGGTGAATGTAAACCGGAGTAAATAATTCGAACTGCATCAGGTATTGTACCCCGTACGCCACTAATCGAAGCCGTTGCAGGGATCTTGGATAAAATACTACAACAGTAAAATAATAGAGAATCTCAGTGTCATGAGCAAGACATTTGTGAATATTATAGACAATTTCAATCTTAAACACAACAGAGCTGACAAATACCGTCCTGGTGCAAAAGTTCCCAACACAGTCAGAGAGATGGTAAAACAACGTAATGTGGTATTTCCTGAAACCGCACGCCGAGACGCTCGCCCACTCGAACATGTTGATGTGACGCCAGCGAGAACAACTGCGCGTCACCCAACTGC